CCAAACTTCTGAAGACAGCAAATAATCCTTTTCTAAAAACTATTTGCACACTATTTCTTGATCTACTGAACAGAATTCAGATTAGGACTTTGTAAACTACTATATAGTGGTTTCCCCCCCAAAATTCCTGAATGATATTAAATTGTGTGGCATATTTTTTCACAGAGAAAGCAACAACCATATTTTGTATGATTAAAGGAGAGGAAATGACATTTAAAAAGGCAGGGTCTTAGAAACTCAAGTTATTTAAGAGTCAGATAATCAATGTGCTTATTTTATTTAATGCGGGTGCTCTTTTTGTATGAAGCGTAAGTATTTGGTATGTAGAAGTCACATGTAATTACACTCAACTATTCACGGATGCTGGCTTCCATTAAAATATTCTCTGAGCGTAGGTTTGCTTTCCTGCTCAGTCTTAATACTTGGAACTGATTACCTACTTTTCTACCTCAGAGGCCTCTTTGGAAGGGGGGTTCTACCCTAAGATTGGTAAGCACAAGAGGGGCCCCCTGTTTAGTGGAAATCAGAGGTGCTGCTTCACAGGTGCTGCACCAAGCAATTGATTTCAGTATTTTGCTCCAGCTCACTTTGGACCTGGAAAACTTTGGTGACCTTAGAGCAACATATTGCTGCCATTAGAAATCTAGCTGAAGGCCCTGACTTCACAAATTTACATAAAAATTAAAGGTCAAGACATAAGTTTACCAGTTACATGCCCATTCAGTAGTGAAACCCAGAATGAAACATACCACTGACGTTCTGGGAGTATAGTTTAATGCAGTTCTTTTAAAGAGGATGAGAGTGAAGTACCTGGTCAGCTACATTGGTGATACTGTACTCTAAGCAGCATGTTGAGTGAGAATAGTTCAGAAACTATTATAGAAATAAACAGCCACACATTGTTGAGTCAAATTCTTATGATGTTTATATTTTCACAGTAACCATTTTTAATAACTCATCATCTTTATCTGATGACCCCTTTTATGACAATTAAGATGGTAATCCCCAATTTCAGTGATCTAGTAAAATTCAGATTCAAAGGAATGCAAATTCATTTTAACAATAGACACAATGGGCAATGTACTAATTTTCTCTGCTGTCATAACAAATTACCACAAACTTAGTGGCTTTAAAACAACATAAATTTATTTCCTTACAGTTCTGTAAGTCACATGTCCAACACGGGTCTCAGCAGGTTACAATCGAGGTCCCAGAAGGGCTGCATCCCTTTCTGGGAACTCCACTGGAGAAAGTTTCCTTGCTTCTTCCAGTTTCTAGAGCCTGCCCTTAGTCCAAGGATGGACCCACCTTCCTCCATCTTCAAAGCCAGTAATGTTGAATCTCTGACCTTCCATTGTCATTCTTTGAAAGGCTCTCCACTTTTAAGGACTTCTGTGATTAAACTGGGTCCACTCAATAATCCAATATAATCTCTCTGTCTCAAGGTCTATACCCTCAAGCACATTTGCATAGCCCCTTTACCACATATTCACAAGTTCTGGTGATTAGGGCATGACACCTTTGGGGACCATTATTCTGCCTACATATAAGCAGAAACAGCAAGATAAACATTTTTTTATTATCCATCTTCCAGAAAAATTCATGTAATTTAAATGTTTCTTATGATAGGTACTATATACAGGGGAAGTATGTAGCCCAAATGAACTTTTGTACTGATTCAAACTCAGGAGAGATCATGGCATGAAAATTATTTCAACACTGGAGTGATGTCATATGAAACCCAATTTTCATGGGATACTCCAATTTTAATTATCCCTCTCCTGGCATCATTTCCCTTCACTAAAACAAATAGGTATTTTCAATTCTAAGTCCAAAATAGAAAAAAAAAAAAAGAATTTAAAATGTTTCATAAGAGCTGTTTGTTAAAGAGACCCTATTCTTAAGTTTCTCCAAAGCATTTTGAGGTCTAAATACAATTTAGCATTCATTTTAAAAATTATAGTTGTATAGGGTTTTAAAACACTGCTATCCAAAAAGTTCCTATTCTAATCAGCCAAAAAGAGGAAAAACCCATTATTATATGGCAAAGGGACAGCTAGACACATTGAATGGGCTTTCAGTGCAATAGGTCTTAAGTGACTCTATTTGCTAAACCAAAAATAAACTCTAAATAAGGACATTTTCTGACTTTTTACCTTCTCTGTATAAAAAGTCTTAAAAAACAAATATATGGGAAGACTACTGTACTTGTATCTGATACACAAATATATTTTTCTAATGGAAAACACAATAAAACAAAAAGACCTCTCCTGAAATTGACGGTCAGTTTACAACCAACAGCTGCATGCTACACCTTGTAACAAGTAACATGGGAGTCTGAGAAGCTTTCTATCCACTAGCAACTGAAGTGGAAGAAAGAAGACCTGTAGAGAGACAAGGGTCAACTTTGCCAAAACAGTTTCCACATTTTTTAAAGTGTGCAAAAATGGGAATAGATCTACAAGCCCTTCTCACTCATACATTAAATATACTTCATTTTTGTGTCCGTATAAAACGTCCCAAAACAAGTATCGAATGTTCTATGAAGCAACCAAACATGTAGGTTTTCATATTCATATATTACATATCAATAATATTACTTAATGTTCATCTAATGTTTCATGTTAGTTTAGATAACTGTATCTTTTAATCCCCTGTCCAATTCTGTTCTGTGTAGATTCCTAAGTTAAAGGAAGTTTGTCAACTCATTTTGTAAAGTGAAGAAAGAGTACAGCATTTTAAACTAAAGTTTATATTTTTTATCCTGACTAGAAATTAATGCAAGGGACATTTCTAGAAATATGACAAGTGATCTCAAACAAATAGATTGTGTTTCGAAAGTTTAATTATAAGCCAAAATATATTTTTTCCACAGAAAATGATCACCAGATACCAAGCTGGTCTATAAACACCTAATTAAACAATAGCCAAATGGTAGATAAAAATTAGCAGCAAATGCACTATAATTCTCAAATAATGAAACACTATGAATGCTAAATATTGACATTTCAGGAAATAACTTTTTATGTAATTTCTCTAAACTTACATATAAAATGAAGGGAAATTCCAGCTACCTTAAAGTTCCTAGACTCTGATAACACTGATTCCATTTCAGGTTTTCTTTGCTTTGAGCATGCTGTTTAGCACTATTCTCCTTTACTTACTAGGATTACATGACAATGTTAAAACATTTAGCATAGGTCTGGTATGAAGTAAGCGCTATAAAAATCATACATTTATTATTTGAGCCTCACGATAACTGGGCAGTAACCTGAAGGGAAGGTAACAAAAGAGAGGATGTGTATACATCCATGCAAAAAGAATTACCTGAGATGGTATTAACTATCATCTTTTCGAACCTTCCATTCTAGAAAACCTGTGTCTGAGGTCACTGAAGGCCAGAACTAGGCAACTTAGTCAAAAGGTCACTTAGTCAAAAGGTCACAGGCCTGGAGGAAAGGCTGACCAAATCCACCCTGTAGATGAAAGTAACCTTGTGAAGCAAGTGACACCCCAGAAAGTGGATAGAAAACAAGAAATGACTTCTAAGCATTTAAGCAGATGGACCCAGCCCATTCTGGGATAAGGGCTAAAGTACTTTCCAGAGGAAGCAAGAGGGCATGGGCACCAGAGATCATCTCGTGCTCACCTCTGGCTAAGTCTGTGGGCCAGGCTGTTAAAAGCACTCAATCATCGGTTGTTAGGGTAAAGAAGAGATGAGCAGAGACTGGCAAGTGCCTGATCCTATTAAAGAAAAAGTAAAGGGAAGAATCATCATTGCAGTAATCCAGTGGTTCGAAACCTGAATGAACATTAGAATCTCTTAGGCATGCCTTTATAATGCAGAGTCCTAGGCCCTTCTCCTTAAAGATTCTGATTGCATAGGTCTGAATAATGAGAATACTTAGCTAAATTTGGGAATTCATCAAATTACAATCAGTTCAATAGATTAGATTAACCTTTGGAGTAAAATTTAATTACAGAACATTGTCAATTTATATTATCTCACAAAATAACACGCAAAGCTGACTTAAAAAAACTACACACATGAATTGTACAACCACACATTTTCATAAAACAAATAATATATGTAAATGTCTGAAACCTTTTAAAACCACAAATCCAAAGTAAGCAACATACAGCTTCTTCAGATATATAAAAGGTTTTCTGAAAAAATAAAATAGGTAAATGTGCTTTCAAGTTTTAAAATTTGAAACTTAGAAATTATATCTGATTTTAATAAAGAAAATAAGACACTAGGTTTTTTTTCATTTCAGAAACTTCAAGTCTTTTCATCATAATTGAAGGAACTGCATGATCGATTAAACACTGTCAGCATTGTTTTCCAAAATTCTCCATTAATTTTTTTAATGCAGCCATACACCTGAGTGCTCTGAATTACACAAACATATCCAATGGAGTCTAAGACTCACCAACATTTACATTATGCTTCTTCAACAGAATCTGAGATGAGCCACTAGTAAAACAGACTGTAAGATTATTTAGATGTGATGATGAATTGGTCTGCTGAACTCCAGAGGTCACAGAAGGAATTACATCTTTGAATTTACTTTTTAACAAATAAAATTCAGCGTTGTGCTAATCTGCTTTTGCATATTATTTGGAAAATGGCTATTAAGGCTTTATTGTAGAGGGGTACAAAAAATATCCTATTGTGCCTAATGCAAGATGGAGAAAAGAATGGTTTACAAATTACTGATGACCACCTAAGGGAATCCTGTTTTTTCCTTTCATTATGGATTTCTCAAAATCAAAGATATTTTTCAAATTAAAGTTACATTAAGAGCTTTCAGAAAATTAAATCCCTAGCTTAAGAACTTAAATGTCTTCAGATTCAAAATAGGAATGGATGATTATAACTGTTTTTTTGTTTGTTTGTTTGTTTTGTTTTTTTAAATGTTGCTTTGGGGAAAAGTTTTGATTCATTGATTCATTCTTTCTAACAGCTTTTTCTTTGTTTACTATAAAATAATGCACTGTTACTGTGAGGACAATTTCTGATTCAATTCCAATGCTCTTGTATCTCCATGAGTTTTGGCATTGTTTACCAGCACCTACGGGAAATCACATACAGAAATATTAGTATTTTGTTTATTCACAATAACTATAATTAAATCCATGGAAGCCAAGTATGCCAAAAGGCAGCAGGCAATATCAAACAACACAGGAAAAAGGGACTACGTGCAATCCTTCCAGTCATTTTTGCTGAAATAAATTGTTCAGCCAAAGCCAACATCAAAGATAAGCACAATTTATTCAAATGCTCAATTAGTAAAGATGCAACATTTTGATTGTTACCATTGTCAGCGCTGTATAAAACTGAAGGTTTCGTTTGGTGGTTTTGTTCACAATGCTGTCATCTCTAATCCCTTACCCAAAAAGACCATTTTATACACAGAACCGTGCAAGTGATATTCCTCTCCTTTAAAACTACAGTTTAGAATCGAGGTTCTAGATTCTAGGCTCTATCAAGAAACTTTGCAAGGTTTTCACCAATTCTACAAACTAGAAGATTTAATTTCAGTTGTTCATTTGACTACTAAAACTTTTGGTTGTTCCGTTTTCAAACACTGTGAAGGGTTTGAGATTTTGCTCTACTTGCAAGCTAACAAGTTAGCCTTGGATACTGCCAAAAGACATGGCTCTCCTGGGTCAAAAGTTTTTATCAATCATGGTACAATAAACCGCATGAACATCAAGACATTTACATTTGTTTCCCTTAGCCCCTAAGACTCACAGGGGTGACATGTAGGGATGCACATAGTTTCCCACATACATACTGGATCACATTACAAGAAAAAAACCCTGAGACTAGGAGACTTGAATCTTTATTTTTGTTATTAATTTTTTTAATGTTTATTTATTTTGAGAGAGACAGAAAGAACATGAGCAGGGAAGGGACAGAGAGAGAGAGAGACAGGGAGGGAGAGAATCCCAAGCAGGCTCCGTGCAGAGTCCAACACGGGGCTCAGTCTCATGACCATGAGATCATGACCTGAGCCGAAATCAAGAGTCAGAAGCTTAACCGACTGAGCCACCCACACATCCCGAGACTTGAATCTTTTATGATGGGCAATAAATAGGCCTAACCTCTGGTCTGGAGGAAGACACTTATGTCAGTCTCCCAAGGCTGTCACTATAAAAACATCCTTGAAAAGATGGTCTGGAACAAAGAGCAGTCAGGCCATCTGCTCACAGGATGTTTAGAAATACAAGAACATCATGGAGAATTCCCAGCATTCATACAAGTCCTACCTTTTTGCTTTGCAATAGGAAAATTATAATGTGCTTCTCCAAGCATTGTTTTTATTAATATTTCTTTAAGATTATAAGTTTCACTGAAAGGCAAACAGTATTTCAAATGCTGTAAGTACTTAAAAAGCTTCTCATTTATACTCATTGTATTTTGTAAATTACAGGCTCAAGTTATGAGAAAACAATGTATGTTTTTATATACTCTACCTTTTTTTTTCTTAACATTTATTCAATTTTGAGAGACAGAGTGTGAGCAGGGGAGGGGCAGAGACAGAGTGAAACACAGAATCTGAAGCAGGCTCCAGGCTCTGAGCTGTCAGCACAGAGCCTGACAAGGGGCTCGAACCCACGAACCGTGAGATCATGACCTGAGCTGAAGTCGGATGCTTAACCGACTGAGCCACCCAGGTGCCCCCTTATTTATTTATTTATTTATTTATTTATTTATTTATTTATTATACTCTACCTTTTTAAAAAGAATTTTAGATATACAAACAAATATGTTTATACATTTAGATACTAGTGCCATGCTATGAGGAGTAGAAACTGTCACATGTATCTTACAGAAAAAACAAGAAGTAAAATAATATTTCCAAAGATAATATGAAGATCCCATTAAATTCTGCTACGTTCAAATTTACCCTATTTGCCTCCAGTGCAATGCTTATAAAAAATACTATAACTAGCACCTAGCACCTTCATCAATACTTTCTTATTCTGCATGACACATTAGGAGAATCTATTTCCTACAGGTTAAATCAGTGGCTCTCAACGAGGGGCAATTACTGGTATCATCTGGCATTTCTAAAGATATTTTTAGTTGTCACAAGTTGGGTAAAGGGAGGAAGGCAGTGTTAGTGGCATCTACCGTTTAGGGTGGTTAGGGATGTTGCTCAATAGCCTACAACGCCCAGGACAGGAACCCTCACCCCTCCTCCAACAAAGGTCCGAAATGAAATATTGTGAATAAAATTAATGCCTTACATCAATAAGTTCGTAGTCATTTTTGGCATGTAAGTGTCTCAGCAGGTACCAACGTGCAGTTGATACAATAGACTTGGGAAACCCCTGTTGATGATACACCACTCTTTCCAAAAGTCGCCGTGTCTCTCTGAAAAAGAGTTCAAAGCATCTAAATTAACACAAGATATTTCATTTACTAGTCTCACACATATTATCTTTCTCATTCTTTTGCACACATGGTACTGATTACTTCATGATTTTTTTCATAGAATAAAGGTAATAATAATAGCTAACATTTATTTAGTGTTTATTACATGTTGGGTACTATGCTAAGAGGTTTACACATGTGGTCACATTTAATATATTCAACTTGTAAGGTTAGGTTGCTGTTACTATTCCCACTTTGCATATAAGAAAAGTATGGCTCATTCCAAATAGAAGAGGGGAAAGGCTCCTATTTTATGAGCACTTCTGATTAGAGCATACCTCTAATTTTTTTTGAAAACAGATGGAAAACAATTAAGTCCATAAAAAATACAAAGATAATTTACACAAGACTAAAAGTGTATTATATCAGGCTTTTTAGTATATGCTTTAAAAGGACGTATACAATATGTGAACACATATAATAGAACAGGGTGGTTTACAGTTGTGTTCTAAGTTTTTCCTTCCTAATTTACTAGCATCTGTGACCCCAAAGACTTCCGTATTTGTAGAAACAACACAAATTGTAACTTCAGAAGTTTTGAATAGGAGGATCTTATAAGAAGTAACTGGTTTGAGGTAGAAGGTAAAGAACCTGTCTTGAAGATGCTTCTACATAGAAATCACCATATAATAGGCACACACTTTTTTCTTTGAATCTGTGCTGATTCGGGCTGATTTTTGGTGGTGATCACGTTGTGGGATGTGCTAACAGATTACAGGCAGGTGGAGACTAAGGCCTTTAAGTAATCTACACTGAGCTTCAGCAGAAAGAGTTCATGAGGAAGTATAAATTATAGGCTCAAACATTTCTTGGTGAAATTTGCCATACAAAAAAATGACCAAGAATAAATCATAAATGATGCTGGAACTGGTGATGAGCCATTAGTCTTAGTTCTTCCTTCACTCCTATTTTGGGATGTTGATGTGCCCTTTGCCGCATATTTATATGATGAAGCTCTATATCTTCACTACCTATCTTGTTCTAGTAACGTATGCTCCTAAATGGCTGTCTTACCTACAGTTGCTTTGTATTATGTGTGATATCCATTAGAGAGAGATATTATTCTCAGAATTTCAAAATATTCTTGCTTGTTTTTTCATCCACATGGACTTTTAAGTAGTTTTCTTCAAATTTATTTCTGACCCCATCCATACCCTCCAATAAAAAGATCACCAAAATTATTATATATTTTTTTTAATTTTTTTCAACGTTTATTTATTTTTGGGACAGAGAGAGACAGAGTATGAACGGGCAAGGGGCAGAGAGAGAGGGAGACACAGAATTGGAAACAGGCTCCAGGCTCTGAGCCATCAGCCCAGAGCCTGACGCGGGGCTCGAACTCACAGACCGCGAGATCATGACCTGGCTGAAGTCGGACGCTTAACCGACTGCGCCACCCAGGCGCCCCCAAAATTATTATATTTTAATCTCAGAAGCTTCGAGCTTTTCTAGATATAAGAACCACACTATTATAACATGTCTCTATCTTTTAAATATTCATTAGTTTTTCATAGCTTATTGCCTTGCATGAACTTGGGTCAATCTAGCCTTGAACTTGGGTCTTTTTGGTTTCTAGAATCCACATTACAATGTTGGTGCATCCTAAGACAGCAAAACTCCTAGCCCTTCTTTACTTGAAATCCTGTCATGCCCAACCTCTCATACTGTATGTACCAAACTATTTTTTGTAAAACAAATGTAAGACTTTATTTTCTTTATATGGTACTAGAACACCTTTCCCAAAGTAGTAACGAATATATGAATAACACCAAGTTTGTTAGACTAACTTTAAATCTGTTTCCTAGAAGGACTGAAAGTGAAGAAACATTTCCAAGAAAAAAAGGGAACAACGATTTTTCATACCTTGCCCCCATTTTGCGGTTGAACTGTAACAAAGCTTGTAAAAAGACAGCCAATGGACAAAAGCAAAGTTTTAAGGCCTCAGTTGTAGCTTCTTGAACCAAAGATGACCAGTGATTATTGGGAATATTAGCCTGCGAAAATATAAGACACATATTAAATCAAAGCTTTCCGGATGTTTACCTTAAAAGGATGCAATTCAACTCTCATTTATTGAATGCCTACTTGTCCAAGTCACCATGTAAATGCTACAGGGACCATGATTCTACAAAATGATTAAGATCTGATTTCTGTCCTTAAATAGCTACAGAACAGGGCAGACTGGAATAAAGAAAGGTTTCAAAGAGGAGACATCACTTAAAACACACTAAAATATTTATTAAAACAAAATGCACTATTCTGCTATATAGGTGAATAAAATCTATCAGTTACTAAGCCTCTTGTTTACCAAATATACAAAACTCAATTTAACATGACTTCAACAGGTAGTGATAAAGTCCCACATTCAAAAATTATCTAAGGAGAAAGAAAAGACTAAAATAAAATATTTTAATAAAATCCCAACACAGAAAAAAGGTACAAAGTACAATGAATTAAATTGAACTCATCAATACTGAGAACTTTTTTAAAAGAATTTCACCTTATAAGGAAAATGTTAAGGCAAACTTTAGTGTCTTACAATATGGGCTGATTCAGAAATAATAGATAAGTATTTCCTAAGGAACAATAACTGGAGTTAAATATGGTGAACAGTCTGCTGAATTATGTTAGAAGGAAAAAAATACACACTTAAAATCTTTATTAAAAACCTGAGACTGTATCCAAAATCTATAAAGAACTTATCAAACTCAACACCCAAAAAAACAAATAATCCAGTGAAGAAATGGGCTAAAGACATGAAGAAACACTTCTCCAAAGAAGACATCCCGATGGCCAACCGACACATGAAAAAATGCTCAACGTCTCTCACCATCAGGGAAATACAAATCAAAACCACCATGAGATACCACCTTACACCTGTCAGAATGGCTACATTAATAACTCAGGCAACAACAGATGTTGGTGAGGATGTGGAGAAAGAGGATCTCTTTTGCATTGTTGGTGGCAATGCAAGCTGGTGCATTGGAAAACAGTATGGAGGTTCCTCAAGAAACTAAAAATAGACCTACTGTATGCCCCAGCAATTGCACTACTAGGCATTTATCCAAGGGATACAGGTGTGCTGTTTCGAAGGGACACATGCACCCCCGTGTTTATAGTAGCACTATCAACAATAGCCAAAGTATGGGAAGAGCCAAAATGTCCATCGATGGATGAATGAATAAAGAAGAGGTGGTATACACACACACACACACACACACACACACACACACACACACACACACACAATGGAGTATTACTCGGCAATCAAAAAGAATGAAATCTTGCCATTTGCACCTATGGAGATGGAATTGGAGGGTATTATGCTAAGTGAAATTAGTCAGAGAAAGACAAAAATCACATGACTTCACTCATATGAGGACTTTAAGAGACAAAACAGATGAACATAAGGGAAGGGAAACAAAAATAATACAAAAACAGGGAGGGGGACAAAACATAAGAGATTCATAAATATGGAGAACAAACTGAGGGTTACTGGAGGGGTTGTGGGAGGGGGGATGGGCTAAATGGGTAAGGGGCACTAAGGAATCTACTCCTGAAATCATTGTTGCACTATATGCTAATTTGGATGTAAATTTTTAAAAATTAAAAAAAAAAATTAAGAAAATAATATTAAATAATTAAAAAACCCTTAGACTTTAACTAAGATTTCATAATTACAGGCATCTAGAATACACATTTTAATAAAGGCAATAGAATGAGTCAATACATGGTCCATTTCAAACACTAAAGTATAAAAAAATGTTTTAATGTTAGGACAATAAACAGTGCATGCAGTACATTAGTGTAATCAAGGAAGAGGAAGCTATAAAGACAATAAATCTGAAAACAGAGGACAGAGGTAGTAAGGCACCTTCTATAAAGATGGGAGCAATGAACCATTGGATACATCTGGCAAAGAAAATAAGGCAAAGCCCAAACTAACAAACTTAATCCCTGATATATTTTAGAAACCAGTAGTACAAAACGTTTACTGGTTACTTTTATAATGTACTCTCATAAAATATTCTGTAAAGTTAGCCCAAAGATTATTATAGAAGGAAAAAGTTTCTATGCGTAACTGGTATATTAAATAGTAGAATGCACACTTTTGACTTCCATTGTGTCTTTAAAACTGATTATATGAGAAAGCACTCTTCCTCTCTCCCTGGATAGAAATTATAGCAGGTTCCATGACTCTGATATCCATTTTTCTTACAGTCATCACAAATAATCTTAATTAGAATATCCTCTTCTTTTCAGTATTTCAATCTTCATTTAAAGGTACGGTTTGCACCCGATCCCACCACAGCTCCCAGACTGGATATGGTTACAGGTAGCAGCAGCTGGCCTGTTCTTTCTCCCAATACTCCTACCTTTTCTTGTTAATTGCAGTTTCAAACTGCTACTGAAATACTAGAAGTCTGTATTTGACTGGTGTCACTGTAAGATGATATTTCTAGGCCTGACAGATATTTAAATCTCTTTTTCTCATCCAGACTTTCCTGGCTTTATCCTAACTTCATGGGTAGTGTCTTATCTGCAGGACCAGCTATGTACTCTGTGGAGCCCAGGGCAAAATCACTGCAAAAATGTATGGTCCTTTGTTCAAAAATAATTAAGAATTTCAAGATGGCGACTACAAGGATTAAAGCAAGAGTGGAGCCCTGAGCAACTGCACAGAATGCACACCTGTGAAGCAGTCCTGTTCATCCACAGTTCCACTAGATGAATATACTCTATTTCACTCACTCTCCACATCCTCAAAGCAATCTTGAGACCTCTCGTTTCTTTTGTACTGAAACCCCATCACTCTTCTAGGTAGCCCTACTGGATTGGATTTAAGAGAATTCCTACGCCAATCCACTTTGACGCTGGACCACTCATTCCCAGCTCCAACAAATTCCAGGAGTGTTGCCAATCCCATGTCACAGGAATTCTCCTTCACTCCCTCTGTCTTGTACCCGAGCGTATATTGCTACCCACCTTTGGGATACACCCACCACTGACCACTCTCTGCCAGGGCACATACTTTCCAAAGCACTTTTTTTTTCTGTCCTAAGACACCAAGTGGAGAGCCACAGCTTCTGAGGTTATGTCAGATACCTGTCTATATGCTACTAGACATATGCCTCCAGGATCTCAGAGGCCATACATCAAAACCTTCCTTTCTTTGGCAGAAATCAAAAAGATTCTTTTTTGTTTTTGTTCTTTTTTATTTTTACTTACTGATTTGTTTTACTTTTTTTTTTTTTTTACTCTTATTTTTATCCCATAATCAGTTACTCTAGAGGATGAAACCCAATTGTGTATAGATTGAAAGCAAAAAATATACACTTTCTCCCTTCCTCACCTTTGTGGGCATCTGTGTATGGAAATGTGCCATCAAGATGGGGGAGGTAAGCGCTCTCCAAAAAAATTTCTCCATATTCCTTCTCTAACTTCTAATTCATTTATAGCTTCCTTATAGGTTAATCTTCTACTTACTGCGGAAGTCTGTACCTTGATTTTATATCTTACTTTGGAATCTGTTATCTCTGAAATCTGATACTTAGCATCTTAGCCGAACCTGAGTTTAATATCCTATCCATATATTATCACACATTCAGTAGCCTCTCATAAAAGTGTAATTTTAATATAGTCATGCCCTGTACCAGCTGTTTACCATAGAAATGTGGCATCTCTTATATTCTTTTTTTTTTTAATGTTTATTTTTGAGAGAGAGACAGAGTGTGAGTGGGAGAGGGGTAGAGAGAGAGGGAGCACAGAATCCAAAGCAGGCTCCAGGCTCTGAGCTGTCAGCACAGAGCCCAACGTGGGGCTCGAACTCACAAACCCCAAGATCATGACCTGAGCCAAAGTCTGATGCTTAACCGACTGAGCCACCCAGCTGCCCCTCTTATATTCTTTTACAATAAATGTTCAGTGTCAAATATTATAATAAGAACAGGTTAGATTTGAGTAGTGTTATAAGGGCATTTGTAAATGTTATTCTACTTGATATTTAACCCTATAAGAAGGCAAAGTAGTATTATCATCTTTACTACTACTACTCCAAAAAAAAAAAAAAAAAAAAAAAAAAAAAAAAAAAAAGACTCTAAATAGTTTAATTGGCTGAAGTTTTCACAAGGAATACATGGTAGAACCAGAACCAAAGCTACTAGAGAAAATACTTTTTGTGGTTGGGGGGAGGGGGAGTAGAAGAGATAGGGTGTATTTGGGTATTACTAAACTGCAAGCTAATTTCCTCAACTGTAAAACAGGATTATTGTAAATATTAAATAAACTAATATGTGTAAATCACTGTAACAGTATCTAGCACAGGCTAAGTGCTATAATGTTTGCTATTGTTATTCCTATTGTTTTATTCCAGGTCAGATTTAATTTCCCAGCATTAAGAACAGGCAAAAAAAAAAAACACCCTCCCCCCAAATAAAAATATTTATTAACTAACAAATAATGTTAGACTAAAAGAGTTTCTACTTTTCCAGTTCACATATACAAGAGACTTATGAGTACTATGTGTGGCTTCCATAGCACACAGCTATCAATGTCACAAAGATATTTGTTAAATATAAATATGTAACAAAACAAAATATTTGATGGTCTACAATTAACCACCATTTTTTTTCACCCAAATCAGCACAAATTTGACAACCATTATTATGTACACATTCATTCAAAAACCATTTATTGAAGAGCTCCTATGTACAAGGCAGGGTGGTAAAGCAAGGATGCAAAGATGAACAAAACATGGCCACCGACCTAAGGAGCTCTTAAATGTGCTCTGTAATCATCTCACCAAAGCTGAAAACATTTCCTAATCCTTATATATCTTTATCAGAAAGCTTAGTTAAAGCAAGCAAATAACATTGGCAATGGATTGCTATGACAAAAGCAGGAATTAATTCAGGCCTATCTAGGACAATTTCTTCTAACCATGTAAAACAAAGAACGTCAGTTTATCTTTTAATTACAGAAGCAACATTATATGATAAAAATTCAAATACTATCAAAGGATATAAAATGAAAACGTCTTCTCTATCATCCTTTAAAAACCCCCAGTGCTATTCTCCAAAGTAACTGTCATTATTTTTCTTTTTTTAATTATTATTTTATTTATTTTTTTATTTTAGACAGCTAGAGAGCTAGGGATGGAGAGGGGCAGAGCGGGGAGGGGGAGAGAGAATCATAAGCAAGCTCCATGCTCAGTGCAGAGCCCCATGTGGGGCTGGATCCTTTGACCTTGGGATCATGACCTGAGTCGAAATCAAGACTCGAATGCTTAACCAACTGAGCCACCCAGATGCCCCTCATTAATTTTCTTTTTATATCTTTTTATATCTTTCTATGTACCCATAAGCAGGTGCACACAAACACAACATATTTAGACATATATATTCTTAAATATATGTATCACACATACACTCAACTAGGATATCATATACACTGTTCTGCAGTTTTCCCCCCAAAGCACACACACACTTAAACATTTATCTAAGGAGTTTTCCATACTAGTACAGAGGACTTACAGATTAATGTACCTATCTTTGTATCAAAAATCTGATGTCAAATCAAAACTTACTAGAAATCCTCTTACAGAATGTTAAATTGAACTGAGAAATGGGCTGAAATGTTAATTATTGCCACCTTTGTCACAGATGAGTAGCTGGGTTAATTCTAACTTATCAACAAGAAATAAAAATGTATATTCTGCCTTAATTCAACTTTTTAATTTCAATCTTTGTTTCTTTTCTTCCCCAAACAATGACACTGTTCTGCTGGAGTCTATGGATTTACATTGCTATTATTTCCATCAAAAGCCCAAATACAAAGTCTATAAGGAGGCCTCACGAGAAGGTGACAAAACAACAGGAACTTGAGAGAAAGCACGATCATCTTAAAAATAAATGAATCAATTTTTCATGATTATAACATGATCTTACCATGCAGGCTTTTAAAGCAAGTAGAGCTAGTCTCAGCAGACTTGACAGCTTCCCACTCCAACTGCCCTGCTGGGATGCTACTTGTAGACTCTTTCTATAACACATCTCTGCAGCACCCATCATTCCTTGGCACTGATACACGTGTGCCAGCCACTGAGGAACATAAAGAGAAAAGAACCAAAAAGATTTCAATTTAGTACATAGCCTGCTACTCTACTTCCAACAAAGTCAATACACATTGATAAAGTTAATTTTTTATTTCATTATTGCTAAATTTTGTGCCCCCAAAAAACAAAAATCACAGGTCAAGAAAGGAGTAGCCATCTTGCCCATTCTATCAGCAAGAGCTTACTAGCCACATCACTGGAAAGTCGTTTTTTTTTTTTTTAATATAAATGCGTATCTACTTATTTTGAGACAGAGAAAGAGAGAGTGTGAGCAGGGGAAGGGCAAGGAGAGAGGGAGAGAGAGAATCCCAAGCTGGCTCCATGCTGTCATCACAGAGCCCAATGTGCAGCTTAATCTCAAGAACCATGAGATCATGACTTGATGAGAAATCAAGAGTCGGATGCTTTAACCAACTAAGCCACCCAGGTGCCCCTGACTTGACAGTCTTAAAGAGTTTTCTGAGATGGCAAGTCAAGAACAAAATCAAAATGGACTATGAAAACAGACATATCATGTAAATGCTAATCAAAAAGAAGTTTGTATAGTTGTATTAATAAAGTAGACTTTAAGACAAGAAATATTAGAGACAAAGGGGGCTGTTTCATAATAAGAATCAATTAATTGGAAGATATAACACTCCTACATTTGTATTTACCTAATAACATAGATTTTATGCAGCAAAAGTTGACAGAAATGAAAAATAGTCAAATGCAGAATCAAAGTTGGAGATTTTTAGTACACCTATCTTAGCAATGGTTAAAGAAACACAAAACGTTCAATAAGGACATAGCAGATTTAAACACAATTAATTAGCTCGACTTAAGTGACATATTGAGAAGACTACATTCAGTAACCACAGTATATACATTAAGTGACAATGTGTATGCAATATTTACCAAATCCAACCATATAACTAAAGAACTAAAATCATACAGTTTACTGATTAAGTGAAATTAAAGAGTAACAGAGAAATAACTAAAAAATTCATCCTCTCCCATATTAGAAATTTTGCAACATGCTTCAGAAAAAAACATGGATCAAAGAAGAAATCCCAATGGAAATTAGAAAACATATTCAAATAAATGACAATGAAAACACTACATAAAGTCCTGGGGGATGCATATATATATTGGAGAAAGACAGAAAATCTGTAAGTTTCTCTGTCAAGAAGCTAGGTAAAAAAAAAAAAAAAACCCAAAATGCAAAGAACGTAAAGAAAATAAAAAATAAAAGAAATCAATAATGTGTAAAGAAAATATAATGAAGAAAATCAAACCAAAAAGTTGGTTCTTTGACAAGTTAACAAAATTGTTTATCAAGAAAAAATTCAGAAAACAAATTACCAATGTAAGAATGAAAATGGAAAAAAAAGCATTACAGATTATATAAACAGTGAAAAAAAATTTTTAATGTTTATTTATTTTTGTGAGAGAGACAGAGTGTGAGAGAGCAGGGAAGGGGCAGAAAGAGAAAGGGAGACACAGAACCTGATGCAGGCTCCAGGCTCTGAGTTGTCAGCACAGAGCCCAACATGGGGCTCAAACTCACGAACCATAAGATCATGACCTGAGCCAAAGTCAGCTTAACAAACTGAGCCGCTCAGGCGCCCCCATGATACATTAAAGAGGATATCATGAACAACTTTATGCCAATAAACATGAAATTGAGATGTGCTGGACAAATTTCCTATAGCTCATGAATGCTAAAGAAGTGAAAAGAAATTTAACCAGCAATTAAAAAAAAAAAAAAAAATCCTTAGCCCAAGTGGCTTCAATGGTGAATTCTTCCAAACATTAAAGAAATAAATGTCACTCTCATACAAACTCTTTCAGAAAATAAAGGAGAATTAACAACATAGATGCCAAAACCTAACACAGACCTCATAAGAATGAAAAATAAGCCATTCTCTCCTGAATATAGGTATTAAAAATCCTCTAAAAAGACATTAACAAATCAACTCCAGCAATATATAAAAGGAGTAATACATCATAGCCAGGAAAACCAAGTAAGATTTCTACTAAGAATGCAAGGTTAGTTGAGCATTTGAAAGTCAACACAGTCCACATTAGCAGAATAATAAAAAAAGAACCATTCTAACAGATGCCCCTCACAAGATCTGTTAAAATTCAACATCCATTCATGAAAAAAATAAAAAATCTTTTATCAATTTAGAATAGAGGACTTCCTTGATCTGATAAATGTATCTATAAAAACTTGCAGTTGGTAAACAGTAAATGTTTTCTATGTGAGGTTGAAAATAAGAACATTCACTTATTTTACCACCACTTCTATTTAATATTGTTATTCAAGGTTCTAAACAGTGCAATACAGCAAGAAAAAAATCAATATAAATATATTGGAAAGAAAAAGTAAGACTTTACTACTCACAGAAATGACTTAATTATGTTTACAGAAAACCCAAAATCATTCCAAAAGAATAAGTGAATTCAGCAAGGTTGTGGATGGTCAACATATAAATATCACTGCATTTCTAAGTGTTTGGAGCTAACATACAAGACAAAAATACTATTTGTAATAGAACAAAAAACATGAACTACCCAGAAATAAATTTAACACAAAAATGTAAGAGACTCTACACTGAAAACTGTAAAACACTACTGAGAGATATTTAGAACTTAAATAATTTGAGGCATATACCACATTTGTGGATAGAGAAATTCAGTAGTATTCCTTTATCAATCCTCCCCCAATTAAACTACAGATTCATGTAATTCCAATCAAGATCCTAGCAGGGCTTTTGTTTGCGGGGGGAGGGGGGCGGTAAGGAAGCAGGGTAACTGACAATCTACATGTAAATGCAAAAAACCTAAATGACCTGAGACACTTGAAGGAGAAAAAGTCAGAGGTCTTACTATTAGCTCCACACATCAAAACTAATTGTAAAGCTGTAAGCAAGAATAAACAAGTAGATGAATGGAAAAGAATAGGGAGCCCTATACGACCCACATATACAGTCACCTGATTCATGTAAAACCATCACTACAGTTCTGTGGGGTCAGAATGGTCTTTTCAAGAAATGATGCAGGGACAGTAAGATATACATCTGGGAAAAAAAGAACCTTGACTCTGCAACATCAACAAAAATTAATCCTGTACGGATCATATACCTAATATGTGAAAAGTAAAACAAAAATCTCTGAAAGAAAAGCGAAAAATATCTTCAGGAGCTTAAAGGAGGCAAAGCGCTCTTAAATAGAAATTTCAATAAAGCATTAACCATTAAAAGGTAAGTTAGACTTAATTAAAATTAACTATTCATCAAAAAATAATATTAACAGAGTGTTAAGCCAAGGTACAGACATGAGGAACTATGTGCAGTAATACAAATACTCAAAATGTGCTTGTATCCAAAAACTACAATGAATTCCAAAAATCAATTAAAAACAGCCCACGAAAAAACTAAAAAAAAAAAAAAAAAAAAAAAAAAAAAAAAAAAAAAAAAAAAGGCACTTTATAAAGAGGATATCCAAAGGTTCATTAAGCTTATGAAAAGTGGCTCAACATCATGAGTCAGGTAAAGTCAAGTTAAAACTATCACAAGATACTATTATCTACTTATCTACTGAAAAGGGGAAATAATAACCATGTCTAGCAATACCAGCAATTGGAATGCTCAAAATTTGTTAGTGGTTTATAAAACTGTTTGATAGGATCTACTAGAGTAAACATACATATCCCTTATCACCCACCAAAAGACATATCTAAGGATGGACATGGCAGCATTAACCATGATAGCCAAAACCTGTTAATAATCCAAATGTCCATCAACTGTAAAAGAGATACATTTTATAATATATTCATAAGATGAAACGGAAAAAAACTACAGCTACGTGAAACAACTAAATGAGTCCCACAGACTTGATGCTGAATGAAAGTAACCACACACAAAACAAGAGTCTGTTTATGTGATATTCAAAAAGCAGAAAGACTAGAGAGAAGTGACAGAAGTCAGAATAGTTGTTCTCCTTTTTATTTGAGGTAGGGGGAAATCAAAGAGAGAGGCAGGGGGGAGACAACCAGGTTATTGACAATATTCTGTATCATGGTATAGGTGGTGGCTAAATAGGTATATAGGTAAGTAAAAATGTAATGAATGGTACTTACAAGATTTTCATACTCTATTCTTTGTGAATTATATCATAAAAGAAGACACACTCTATCTCTTAAGACTCTACATGCTATATAATTTATCTTTTAATTTTTCCTTTTTAGTTTGACAAGCATATGAAGTCTTGATGAAGAATATGAAATCATTACTATCCATCTGACCTTAGAATTAAAGTATCTTAATTCTCATATGGCAAATTTTAGAAGAGGGGAAAAAAGCACCACCCTTCTCCAATAATTAGAATAAAAAGTAGGCTTAGCTTGCATAGTCCAACTACTGTACGCCATAGGATAATCTTTTTAAGCAGGGACATCAAAAAGGTGTTATAATGAAAGATCAAAATGAGCAAGAAATTACAGTAAAAAATAAGCTTCTGTAAAATCGATATCAAAAAGCCCCTTTGATACTTTCTCTGGAGCAGAGAGGAAACTATAATACACTGAATAAAGTAATTACATGTTTTCTTGTGTTTTAATATTGATAAGAATAAAGCATATAGTGATCATTATGTGTTTGTCACTGTAGATAACCAGAGCCAGCTAAAAGGATAGTCTGTTCATTCAAGCATCCATAACTACTTCAAAAAGCACTAAACACCCATTAAAATCCTGGATATGGGTTACCTATAAGGTAGCTAGAAAAAAAAACACATACATCCTCCCTAAAGGTGGAGTTAGCACCATTATGACAAAATGTTTGAAACACTTCTTTAATGTGTTACATCAATCCTATGTAAAAGGCAGTATTTTCAACATTGTTTTAAATTGAGGAAATTCATAATCGACAATTTAAAAACCTTTGAAGCAGTGTAGCTGCAGATCCTAAGTTAGTATTAAACTTGCTTAGTCTCCTTAATCCCAATACAGCATGCTTCAGTTATTGAAAACGAAACATATATGGTGACTTTAAAGGCAAGATAAACAAAATGGAGCATAACCGCCTAACCTCATCTAGTATCACGAAGTATTCTAATTCAGGACTCATTGTAAGAATGGAGAGAATTTACCTGCCATGCTGGAACAGAAGTTGAATTGGACATGACTGTTTTCTGCAGCTCTTCAAGTACAGCATCTGGGAGAGGGTTTTGTGAATCCAGGAGTGGTTTACACTGAACTTGTCTCAGAAGTAAGATAACAGCTGGCTGATCAGGGTTACTTTTTAAATTCTAAAAATTAAACCCCAAATACAAATATATCACACAGATTCTTGAATGTTAAAATAGCAATTAAGCTATTCTTAATGTTGGAAAAAAATCTGAATTTAACCTTTTTCTTATTAAAAAATAACTGCAAAAGTAAAATAAATAGAACGATGAACATATAAAACTCCACATTTAAATAAACTTTGAAATTGGTAATGCTATAATTGTAGTTTATAAGGCATTTATTTTAGATTTAGTTTCCCTTTGACTTGTTTTATTCTCAAGTGATATCCTGAAAAACTTAAGTTCTGAATGTAAATAGCTGAACCAAGAAAACATAATATTAACAGTGAAGGCTAAAACAATGCCTTATTGGAAGAAACTAGACCATATAAGAAGAAAAGAGCTATAAATGTTTTCCTTTTTCAACCTCTTCACAAAGATATTCACTGGATGTCCTTCTCTAGGCAAAGACTTCCTACACATTGTAAGAAAAATGACCCATTTATCCATTTCCCTAAGCCATTATTAGTACATGAAAACACACATACATAATTATATATATGTATATGCATCTCCTTTCCTATATATATCTGTACAGGGGAGAAGTTAAAGAAAGTTCTCTAAACAAGCCTTCCACTATTGTTTTAAACATTTCTTTATTGCTTGTATTTCAATCTCATGCTTCTCTATTTTTTATTAATTAAGTTATAGTCTTTTTTTTTTTTTTTAATTTTTTTTTTCAACGTTTATTTATTTTTGGGACAGAGAGAGACAGAACATGAACGGGGGAGGGACAGAGAGAGAGGGAGACACAGAATCGGAAACAGGCTCCAGGCTTTGAGCCATCAGCCCAGAGCCTGACGCGGGGCTCGAACTCCCGGACCGCAAGATCGTGACCTGGCTGAAGTCGGACGCTTAACCGACTGCGCCACCCAGGCGCCCCAAGTTATAGTCTTAAAAGATGTATGTGATTGCTTTCTTCTGGGTAAGAGATTGGAACAAAAGAATGACAAGAAAAAAATCTTAAAAGTATCCCTTATTCTGTCAAACAGAACATAGCAACTGTCAGTTGCTTCATAAACACTCACTGCATAATACTAATCTGTCCCGAATATAGATGAAATTTCTTAAATAAAAGAGAAAATTTATTACTCTGCTTTTTTGGAGAATTAAAACACCAAAGGGATCTTCAAAGATCCATTCTTCCTTCTCTGTAAAATTTATATTGATCTTTCTTTCAAAAACAAAAACAAAACAAAACACATTTCTAAAGAAAATAAAATCTTCCTGGTAAGCAATTATGAAAAAAGATGTTTTCAGGAAAACGTCAGGATAAGGAGATGTTTAAAACTGTCCTTATCCATTAAATTATTTCTAAATAGCTTTATGAAATGGATTCATTCATTCAATAGAAATTTATTGAACCCCTACTATGTGCTGGCAAGGTGCTAAGGATTTACTCACAGAGCCCACAATCCAGGTTTATAAAAGGTGACTACTGAGTAGCTCCAATCACCCACTTAATCCTCACAGTCATTCTATGTGGTTCAGAACTTTGGAAAAATACAGGGATGCTGGAAAACATAGCATTCTGAAGGCAGTAACCAGAAATCAAAGGAAAATACTGCTTCCATAATGGTACTGCCTTCCCAAAGACCTATTAAGTCCTTGAGTCCTAGAATCAGACAAATGTGAGTTCAAATGGCAACTCAATCAATTTCTAGCTGCAAACTCTTGTGTAAATCGCTTACCCTAAGCTTTAGTTTACTTATTTATAAAAAGGGGATAATAATAAACATCCATGTCATACATTGTTGTGAAGTTCAAATACAAACTGCTAAATGTACTGACCAGCTTATAGTAAGTACTCAATAAATGTTGGGTAATTATAATCATTACTATCATCACACCATCACCATATGCCCTTTAAATAATGTGCACTCTATTTTTAATGTCATTTTCCAAGTAGGATAAGAATCCACAAATCTCAATGCTCAATTTCATAATAATAATACCTTTGTGCAGAGGCCTTCAGCTTCAGCTAGTCTTCCTGTGTCTATTAGACCAGTGACAGCTTGGGAGAGAGACCACTTTTCCAGAGATTGGTTATAATTTTCAAGGAATTCTTTGTCTCTAACTGTGAACAAAAATGTCAGTGTTACTTTCCTCTGCGATTTATAACATTTTCCCAAAGGAGTAATTAGTTGCTAAGAAGTATTACAATTAGACTTACCATTCATCTATAATTTTTTAAACTTACATGTACTACCGAAATCCCATAAACTATCCTGACACGTGACAGGTTTCTGAAGAGTTTCATGGTAGGAATGTTTGTGGCTGAGTAACTTAAAACTTTATAGACTTGTGACTTACATAAAAACAAAACAAAACAAACAAAAAACAAAAAACACTTTACAGCAAAATTAAAAATACTTCATTGTAAAAAATTAAATATTTATTGTGATATAATTGATGTATCGTAAATTACACATATGTACGTATTCAAACAGTACATTCTAAAGACTTTTGACATGGGCGTCTATCCATGAACCATCACTAAAATCAAGATAATGAACATAGTCACCATCATGAAAAGTTTCTTCCTACTCCTCTGTAATCACTTCTGTTCCCCTACCTACCTCTCCTCTCACCCTCTGTCCCCAGGCAACCGCTAATTCTTTTCAGTCACAATAGATCAGACTGCATCTTCTAAACTTTCATACAAATAGAATCCTAAAGTATAGACCCCTTTGTCTAGCACGTTCACAGTTGTTAATATGGTAAATTACATGCATTTTCAAATGTTAAAGTGACTTTGCGTTCCCAAGATAAACCCCAGGTGATCATGATGTATCATCTTTTCTATGTGTTGTCGCATTTGAATTGATACAGTGTGTTATGAATTTTTGCACTGTAGTTCTGTAGTATCCTTATTGAAGTCTTTGCCTGGTTTTGGTGTCAGGGTAATGTTGGCCATATAGAAAAAAGTTACCAAACTTTTAAATTACCTGGAAGGATTTGTTTAGAACTGGCATTATTTCTTCCTTAAATGGTTGGTAGAATTCATCAGTGAAGACATTGGGTCCTGGAGTTTTCTTTGTGGGGAGATTTAGAACTACAAATTCAGTATCTTTAACAGATACAAAGCTATTCAGTTTATTTATTTCTTCCGAAGTGAGTTTTGTGTCTTTCAAAGAATTTGTCCATTTCTAAGTTGCCAAATTCAGTGGCATAAACTTGTTCATAAGATCCTATTAGCCTTTAAATAGCTATAGCGATGTACCCTCTTTCATTTCTGACATGGGTACTGTTTTTTATCCCTGATGTCTGGCTAGAGGTTTATCAATTCTATTGATCTTCTCAAAGAACAAGTTTTCACATTTGTTAATTTTCTGTTTTCTATTTCACTGATTGTTACTATTTATTACTTCTTTTCTTCTGCTTACTTTGGGTATAATTTCATCTTCCATTTTCTAGTTCTTAAGGAGAAGATGAGATCACTGATTTGAAGGCTTTAATGTAGACATTAGATGCTATAAATTTCTCTGTAAGTAAATTACAGTGCTTGTAATACTTTGAAAGGCTGTTTTTCCCTTTTCACTCAGTTCAAAATATTTTCTCACTTCCCTTCTTATTCTTTGAACTGGATTATTTAAAATTATTTATTTAGTTTCTAAATATTTGAGAATTTTCCAGATATTTTTCTGTTACTTGTTTTTAATTTAATTCCATTGTATTAAGACAATATGCTTTATACATGATTTGAAGCCCTTTAAATTTATTTAGACCTGTTTCATGGCCCATTTAAGATTTGGGTAAATGCTCTGCATGCATTTGACAATAGGCCTTCTGCTGTTATTAGAAGTATTCCACAAAGGCCAATTAGGTCAAGTTAGTTGACAGTGCTGTTCAAGTCTTTATTATATCTTTACAGATTTTTTTGTCCAATTGTTCTGTCAATTATCAAAAGATTACTAAATCTCTAGTTATAATTGTGGATTTGTCTATCCCTTTCAGTTCTGTAAGTTTTTGCTTCGTACATTTTTCTGTAAGTTTTCATTTTTTCTACCCATCTTATTGTGAAATACAATGCAGATTTTTTGTATTTTGAAGATCTGCTACTTAGTGCTTAAATGCTTAGACTTGTTATGTTCTCTTGATGAACTGATTCCATTATGAAATGTCCTTCTGTATCATTGGTAATATCCCTTGCTCTGAAATCGAATTTGCCTGAAATTAGCAGTGCCATTTCAACTTTCTTTTTTTTTTTTTTTAATGTTTATTCTTTTTTGAGAGAGAGAGAGAGAGAGAGCGAGCGCGAGTGAGCACATGAGTGGGAGAGGGGCAGAGAGAGAGGCAGACATAGCATCCAAAACAGGCTCCAGGTTTTGAGCTGTCAGCACAAAGCCCAATGCAGGGCTTGAACTCCAGAACTGTGAGATAATAACCTGAGCTAAAGTCAGATGCTTAACTGACTCAGACACCCAGGTGCCCCTCACCTGTTTTTGATTAGTGTTGACATGGAATATCTTTTTTCATCCTTTCACTTTTTAGGCTATTTTCATCTTTATGTTTAAATATAAATTTATATTTTATCTATTCTTCTTTTAGGCAGTTTATAGTTGGCTCTTGCTTTTTTATCAATCTGACAATCTCTGCCTTTTAATTAGGGTATTTAGACCATTTAACTTGACTACCGATATGGTTGGGTTTAACTAATGTGTTGTTTTCTATTTGTCTTATCTAGTCTTTGTTCTCTTTTCCTCTTCTTTGGATTATTTTTTATGATTTCATTTTATCTACTTTGGTGGCTTATTTACTATAACTCTATTTAGTGTCTACTTTAAATTTTAAAGTATTCATCTTTAACCTGTCACAGTCCACCTTTAAGTAATATTATACCACTTCACTTACAGTGTAATTTTATAACAGAATACTTCCATTTTCCCCTTTTATTCTTTGTGCTATTGTTGTAATGTGTGCTTTGAACAATTACGTTTTAAAGAGACTTCTATCATGTCACCTGTGGATCTGTTTCCATTGAGTGATTTATCTCACTATGGGTGGTATTTTTCTACCTCTTTGCATGCCTATTCTGTTTTAACTGGACACCAGACATTGTTAATTTTACCTTGTTGAATGCTGAACATTTTTGTATTTCTGTAATGTTCTTGGGCTTTGTTCTGTAGGAAGTTAAGCCCCTTGAAAATGATTTCATCTTTTCAAGGCTTGGTTTTAAGCTTTGTCTGATGAGAACATAGTAGCCTTTAGTGTAGGGCTAAGTGTGCCCACTACCTTTTGGCAATATCCTTCTGAGTACTTTGCCCTGAATTCATCATGTACGAAATGGTTGTTTAAGCTTACTTGAAGCAGAAACAGCAGATAACAGGGCCAAGTACAAATCCATTCTCTTCGGCTCAGTGTTGTCCACTAGAGCCAGCTTATCTTCAGCATGACAGGCTGCCATTAGCCCAGCCCAGACGGCAGGGTCACCTAAACACAGGAAATATGTTACAAGGCTTGTTAATATCAACATATTGCTGAAAAGCTACCAAAAATGAGAGTAAGAGTTTATAAATACCAAAAAATTAAAGTGAAAATAAAATAAATTATATCTCTAGAAAAAAAAAATCATTTTCTTAAAGGAAAACTATACTTCTTTTCAGAAGACATATTACTATGTTCATTCTTCAAGATTTGCTTTTTTTTTTTTTTCAAAATACAGCAAAGGATGAGAAATATCCTATTAAGCTCTTCCATGGCTGATTAGCTCAGCTGCCTAGAGTACTGTTCTATTGTGGAAAAGAATAAGATAAAAACAGAGAGGGAGGTAAACCATAAGAGACTCAACTACAGAGAAAATAAAAGGGTTACTGGAGGGGAGGTGGGTGGGGGAATGGGCTAAACGGGTGATGGGCATTAAGGAGGGCACTTGTGATGAGCACTGTTGGGTTACATGTAAGTGATGATTCACTTAATGCTACTACTGAAACCAACAAAAAAAAGGAAAAGTCAATTATATTCACTTTCATTGGACACCAAGGACAAGTCTCAAAGAGACATTTATGTTTATCATTCAATCTCTGTATTAAAGGTTCAATCATAGGAAAAGCAAAATAACACTCTTAGTTTTTAAGAAAAGTCTGAGTCAAAGGAAAAGCTCAAGATAACTCCATTTACATATGTTCTAACAGCCAATCGCGAAAGCCATTTTATCATTCCAAATGAAGGAATTCTATGATTATATATCCCTTCATCGATTTGATCTTTCCTTCCTTCCTTCACACCATGATAGCTTCTTCTGGGGAGGGGGGAAGCAGTGGACTGAGACTGAGGTGGTAATAATAGAGATTATGCAGACAGATGCCTCTTTTTAAGAAAGGCAGTTGTGAAGACAAGGTGAAAAAGAACTTGGAACTTTAGAAGAGTTTTTATTTTTTGCTTTTTATAAGTCACATTTTGCAGGTTAATATTTGCATGGTCTGTATGTTAGTCCTGCTACACTTAAAAAAAATTTTTTTTTAATCCCACAAGGGGTGCTAGCTAAAAAGAGTGTCATTTAAACAAAAATTTTAGCTTCAATTTTATATTTTTTATCTAACTGCTCCATCTAATATATATCCCCTATCAAATGTTTGAAATGTTTCTCTACTTCATTTATAGAGGATCAGTATTACTGATATAATAGTATAAGAATCATTAGAAATCTTAGGCACATAAAAAATTTTTACAAAAAAATTAAATGCATACCACCATATTATAAAATAATTCCTGCCTGAAATAATGACTACTTTATTTTAAATAACAAAAGATACAATCAAATTCTAGAATAAGGAAATGGGAACCATCCCTCAGAACTTATGAGATCTGATTAACGTATAATGAAAGGCACATGACTCTTAGATCTGGGTTTTAGGTCTAACAATGGCACTAATTAACTCTGCCAGCTTTCCCTTCAGGACTCATTTTTCTATAAAACAAATGAACTGGATGATGGCTCGGGTATCATCAGGTCTAAAATCCAAAGTTCCAACTGAGGTAGAATCAATTTCTGAATTTTTTTTTGTAGTTTCAAGTTTTTATTTAAATTCCAGTTAGTTAATAATTTCTGAACATTGACTTATTTCTAAGATTAAGTGAAGAAATCCCTTAGAGATCTTAGGGTAGTCTATAGTTTAGATTACAGGAGGGAAGAGATGGACATTAGTTGGCAGCAATTTTTTCTGTCACATTTCAAAAGAACTGCTGTTTTCATTTAGTCTTCCAGACTATTCAGCAACTTCAAATTCCCTATGAAATAAAGTGATAGTAAAAAAACATATTTATTACAAACCTCAGTTTTTAAATTTTTTTAATGTTTATTTATTTTTGAGAGACGACAGAGCATGAGAAGGGGGAGGGGCAGAGAGATAGGGAGACACAGAATCTGAAGCAGTCTCCAGGCTCTGAGCTGTCAACAGAGAGCCCAATGCAGGGCTTGAACCCTTGAACCGTGAGATCATGACTTGAGACAAAGTCGGCACTTAACCAACTGAGCCTCCCAGGCGCCCCTCAAATTTTTTAAATATAGTTTGCTAAAAATATCTTTTAATATCACAGAAGCACTAATCTAGCAGAAATTGGATTTTTTAAAATTTGATTCTAAATTCTTGGGATCATATTTAAATTTCTAAAAAGATTCCTTTGAATACCATCTGTCAAAACTATACTTTGTTCAGCTACAAGGACTAGGTATATGCTACTACCCATAACTACAATTACATTTACTTTTATTGGACTCCAAAACCAAGTCTCAGACAGGCATTCATCTTCATCACTCAGGCTCTGTTTTAAGCATCTTTGAGTATATATCTCTCCAGATAATATGGGAAAGTAAGATCATTACAGAAGACCTCATATGGGCAATGTCACCTTTTTAACGTTTAATGCCCCTCATACAATCAAAACCTAACAGATCTTTTATCATACTAGATTCACAGTAAAAATCCTTGAGAGTAATTATATCCATTTTTTTTTTTTAATTTATTGACTTTGAAAGAGAGAGAAAAAGAAAACGCAAGCAGGAGAGGGGCAGAAAGACAAGAGGACAGAGAGAATCCCAACGAGGCTCCACACTGTTAGCACAGAGCCTCACACAGGGCTAAAACTCATGAATCCTGAGATCATGACCTGAGTCAAAATCCAGAGTTAGATGCTTAAGTAACTGAGCCACCAGGCACCCCCTGCCTTTTTTTTTTTTTTTTTAATCCAATACTTCCATGAAAACACCTCTAAAAATCAAAAACTTATCCAATGTATAACAAAAACAAATCGAAATGTTTAGGGTCTCTTTTTGTTCTATTACATAAATGAAACAAAGAATAAGCAATAAGATATTGGTCTGTTTACTTGTTTTATAAAATAATCTCTGAATTACTAGATATTTAGCCATTTAGTTAGGATCTTTATAATTTATAGTGAAGACAACATTGGACTTATTTTGTGCAATTTGTTTCCTAACAGTCCCCAGCCAAAAGCAAAACTATTCCGATCTAACAAATGTTTGAAGTGCTCTGCGGGAATAAATTATTTAATGCTACATGTCATATTAAAAATAATATTAGTAAAAATACGCCTCATAAGCCCACAGGTATTCCAGTGCTCTGGGGCATTTCTCCAGCAGTGATAATGAAAGTATGCTGATGCAGTCGTATATACTCCTTCAGTGTGATCAATGGTATACACATGACACAAAAAGAGCTGCTCAAGTGAGGCCATCACCTTGGCATTCCAACATTACCACAGAACACACCTCCACTCCTCAAGGAGCTAACTACCCATAAAGATAATTAAAATGACTAAACATGTTCATTAAATAATTTAGCAGCTATAGGTAAACCTCATTAAACCAGACAGATGCAAAACAGAAATAAAACTATTCCATGAAAATACAGAATTCAGATTTTCAATCAAGGGTAACAAAGTATCCTTATGCAGATATTCCATTCAGCCTGTTTCAAGAATTGATTACCTCTTAATTATCAACAGCCAAATGTAGATAATCAAATAATATGCAAAACCTTATTTTCTTAAAATTCCCTTTTATTTCATGAAAATACAAACTTTGTACCCATAAGCCGCAAATGCAAGACCAACAAAATTTGAATTAATGAAATGGATTATATTATACTCACCTGGAGAAAGAAGAGCTGCTTTCTGAATGGTCTTTAGTGCAATATTTTTTTCAGCTTCTGATGAACTGCTTCCCATAGCTAACTGATTTACCGCAGTATACAGTAACGCCTTCTGCATAAGAGAAAAGAAGAGGGTTAACAAATTATAGCTCAGTGACTTTCAAACTGGCTAAAAGCGGGCCTTTATTGGGTACAATGTAACCTCTTAAACTTAGGGAGAAAAATTGTTATTGTTTACCAATAATATTATTTAATAAGTAGGACATTTCCTTTGTACTGGGGAAAACTAACCTTTCCATGATTTGAGTCCAAAATATGAGCCACATTTCCTGCAACAGCACCTCCCTATAATAGAAAATAATTATTTGGATAAACTTTCACAAGTAGTAAAAATTAAGACTGATAAATTCTTTCCATTAAATCATTTGAAAAGTTCAGTTTTATCATATTTACAACTTCCAAACTCCAGAAGTATCAATTTATTATTGCTTTAAGAGACAAGTATTTTTATGAAAGAAAATCTTTTCTACTAGGATCATCTCAACTCTGCTCTTTTAAAATACTAAAAGTTACATAATTTTATACTAAACACAAGTACGTGTTTTCTAACAATTGTGATTAGATGGAAAGAGACATAGAATCTCAAAAGTGATCTTAAGATTAACATGGTTTTACTCCACGGAAATATTAGTATTTTAAAAATTTCTGTAGTCCCTAGTAAAATGAATAGCCAAAGTTCAGAGAGCCTGAAACTAATCACTGATTCAATAATCAACTCAATACTAAAAATGAGAAAAATATATATATCATAGTTTTTATAAAGTCAATTTGAAATCCTTAATTTTTAAAAATTCAACCAGACATTTTACCTGGAAAAAAAAAGTGAATTATAAGAATGATTTCATTTTATTTCAGAAGTATACTGTTGTCTTCATTTTATATTGGAATTGGAGTATCAGTAATGTTTTGCACATCATATTTACCACATAAATAACGCTAAAAACAAACTTTAAAAAATACGTCAACATAAAACAAATAGAAGATGGATTAAAAAGAAAACAGGGTGCCTGGGTGGTTCAGTCGGTTGTGCATCCTACTTCAGCTTAGGTCATGATCTCACAGTTTGTGAGTTTGAGCCCTGCGTCGGCTTCTGTGCTGACAGCTCGGAGCCTGGAGCTGCTTCAGATTCTGTGTATTCCTCTCTCTCTGCCCCTGCCCCGCTTCTGCTCTCTCTGTCTCTCAAAAATGAATAAATGTAAAAAAAATAAAAGAGGAAAAAAAAAAAAGAAAACAACACAGGGGTGCCTGGGTGGCTCAGTCAGTTGGGCGTCCAACTCTTGATTTTGGCTCTCAGGTCATAATCTCACAGTTTGTCAGTTTGAGTCCCACGTTGGGCTCTGCGCTAACAGCATGAAGCCTGCTTGGTATTCTGTCTCCCTCTCTCTGTGCCTTTCCTCCATTTGCTCTCTTTGTCTCTTTCAAAATAAATAAAAATTTTAAAAAGGAAATTAAAAAGAAAAAAAGAAACACAGAAAGTAGAAGGAGGATTCAGGAGTTAGATCTGGGATGATCCATCACCACAAACACTGTGATTTTGCACAAGTTATTTAATATCTACATCTCATGTGTCCTCTATAAAATGGACATTACTTGGAGCTACTTCATATGGTTGTTGGGATTAAATGACAAAATATATACAGTAGTTGGTGCATAATAAGTACTTTATTCTAGTAATAATGATGATGTTCTAGGTTCTTTGTACTACCATGTGTGAAAACCAGTAGGAATAAAAAATAAAAACAGACCCCCACACACTCCAGACAGTGGAATTATTAGATGTAATAAGGTTCAAAATATATTAGCTACTACCATTATGTTTACCAACCAGTTAAGTAACTCTGAAAGGGCTTAGTAACCACAGAAGTTAACAAAATAGTTTATAGACTCCTAAAAATATCTGGTTATTGTGAACTAAAATATAATATATAATTCCTTTCATAGAACATCAATGACTTTGGGGTGCGTGGGTAGTTCAGTTGGTTAAGCATTCAACTCTTTGTTTCAGCTCAGGTCATGATCTCACAGTTCATGAGTTTGAGCCCTGTGATAGGTTCTGCACTGACAGCATAGAGCCTGCATGGGATTCTCTCTCCCCCTCTCTCTGTCCCTCCCTGACTCACATGTTCTCTCTCTCTCTCTCAAAATAAATAAACTTAAATTAAAAAAAAAAAAAAAAAG